GCAACGTCCTCCTCAGACTCTAGAAGCACTTCGAGAGGAGTTGGTGGTTGCCTGGAATGAGATACCACAGGAGGACATTGACCACGTGATCAGAAGCATGCCTAGGCGCGTTGGAGAATGCGTAGCACATCAGGGTGCATCCACACATTATTAAAGGTTAAAGGGCTTTAAAGCAGTGCAATCATTTTGAAATTTTTATCATTTACTTATTATGCTTCATTAAGTACTTATACAAAATTTTATTAAAATAAAACCATTTAAACTGGGTGTTCGGATTTATATGTCACTTAGTATATTTTGTTCCAACATATCACCAACTGTATTTGTAAGAAACGTTATTCATAAATTAAAAGTGCAGCACTGTAAATATGTTAATTTGTAAAAGTGTAATGAAGCACATTAATATTGTGATCGGAATATCAAAAGCACATCTATTCGGGGTGTTTCAAATCCGATCCTCACCATTAGGATCTCGTATTTGGTGATACGAAGAAGCTTAAATGAGGGCGAAGTTGTGGATTTAGATAACGGCAAAATGCCGCTTAGAAAACTTCGATATTCAATGTACTTCCGGAGAGAGACAGAAAAAACCGACTTTTCCCAAAATGGTTTTAATTTTTTCATGACTTTGTTTGTAGTTGGGTTCTTTAAATGAATTACACATTAACATTGCCATTTTCGTGTCTTGTCCTCCAGCATCAACTTTATTTTTTTTATGGAAGCCATACTGGATTTTTGCGCAAATTAATAGAGTTTTTAATTATGATTTCAAAAATGTATAATATATGCATTGACATTACCAAACCTAAGATATTTCTGAAAAACAGAAGTTCCTAGATAGTCCTCGTATACCAGACCTCAAATTGAACATAGAAAAGTCAGGCTTTGCCTATAGAATAGCTGACATTTTAAACATCTGCTATGATCTATACTAAGTGACATATAAATCCGAACACCCAGTTTAAATGGTTTTATTTTAATAAAATTTTGTATAAGTACTTAATGAAGCATAATAAGTAAATGATAAAAATTTCAAAATGATTGCACTGCTTTAAAGCCCTTTGACCTTTAATAATGTGTGGATGCACCCTGATGTGCTACGCATTCTCCAACGCGCCTAGGTATGCTTCTAATCAGGTGGTCAATGTCCTCCTGTGGTATCTCATTCCAGGCAACCACCAACTCCTCTCGAAGTGCTTCTAGAGTCTGAGGAGGACGTCGCATGCCAATAGGTCTTCCGTGTTCTGCAAACCATTCATTTGCAATGGACCTGGTAGTGGAGAAACGGTCCCTTAAGGCCAATAATCTTAGACGGCGATCTTCACGGTCTGTTGTTCTACGGCGGCGTCCAGTGCCCCTTGCTCTTTGCGTACGGCCTTCTCGAAGCCATGTCTGACAACACCTAACCACAGTGTCTACACTTCTTTGCACTCTAACTGCAATTGCCTGAAAAGAAAGTCCAGCTTCCCGAAGTCCCACTATACGGCCCCTATCAAACTCACTAAGTTGACGAAATCGTACAGGTCTCCGTACTCTAGGCATCGTAACCGATCGTAAAGGATGTCAAGAACCAAAATCCGCCAACGTTGATTCTTTACTGCGGCTGAAATATTCATTTTTAGAGCGTTAGTGAATTAAAAAAAAGCAGTATAAAAACCGGAATGTCCAACTGATAAGGCTGAAAATTTTTTCATTTGTTATTTACAGTAAGATAAATACATTCACCAACTTTTATTAAAATAAAACCATTTAAACTATGTGTTCGGATTTATATGTCACTTAGTATATAAAACTACAAAAATGGTTATTTTTGTAACATCATTTTTAACAACAGCTTTGAAATAAATGCCTTGAGCAAGAACGTTTGTTTAAATAATTCGGCTCTGGGATAAACAATCAGCTTTTTACATAAACTATTAAACCGGTTTGGCTGAAATTTAATAATAATACCAGTGATGCCCTCGTTCTCCCAAATTTTTGGCCATTTATAATTGTTCTTGCAATAGTTATAAACATTTATTCAATATTGCTAAAAAGGTACTTAGTTTAATTGTTTATCGATTTTAATTCTTAAAAAATAAAGTTGAAGGTATTTTTATCTCCAGTTTACCGATTATTTATAAAATTAAATTTGAAAATTATACAAGCAAATTACCGAATTATGAGCTTTTCTCATTGTTTATAAAAGCACAACGCATATCTGGCTGTATCTTTTTATGTATTTGTCATTAGAAATACTCCCCCTTTTCATTAAAAACTTTAAGATATCTGCTAAACTGTTTTTACACGAAATTTTTCGTGTAAAAAAAGTTATCTCTCTGTAGCCTGGGTAATTATTGCACCATACTTTTCATGGAATAGTGTGGCAAACTGATCATAGCCGGATTATACAGGGTGACTTGTAATGTCACGTATTCCTTTTAAGGGGTGATATATTAGGTCAAAAGCAACCGATTTTGTCCTATCCATAAGTTGACCGTTTTTGAGTTATTTGAATTTTATTTTTTTATTTTTTATTCCGATTTCAGACGGTTAAATTTGAAATACAAAAAAACTACATGTTTGATTTTGAGTTTTTTGTTATCGTCGCATAGTGGACATTCCAATAGTTCATAATAAGTAATAAAATGTTGAAAACTTACAAAAGTTTTAAAACTACGCTTTTGAAATGTATGATTTTCTTATTTTTTTACTAACTTATTCGATAAAAAATGCAATTTTCTGTAAAAAATCTCCTAGTAATGAAATGTGCAAATAATGTAAATCATATCTCTATCTAACAAGCTTTCATTTAAGGTATAAAAGTTACAACTAAGTCAAGTACAAAGACATAAAATTAAAAAAAGATGAGTAAAGTTGTACGAACGATAATTACGTAGGATAAATAAAAGGCTTTTATTTTAATTACAATTTTATTTAATTACATTTCCTTTGATATTTTACAGATTCTGCTCAAATTGTAATCCCCTGTTACGAATACACGCCCGCATTCTCTTACGTAATTCACTTTTGGTAACTCTAGTTGTTAATGGGCTTTTTATTTGGTCAGCTGCACTGATTATCCTTGTAATTAATTCATCGCGCATTGGTACGGGCCAAACATCGTACAGCAGGCTTTTCATATGTCCCCACACATAGTAATCCATCGGTGTGAGATCTGGGCTTCTTGCTGGCCAGGCAATGGGCCCGCCATTGATTTGACAATTTAGAGTCTAAATACGCCCGTACTAATCTACTGTAGTGTGCGGGACAGCCGTCGTGGTGGAACCGCATATTTTGTCTCGTCACCATTAATGGAAACAAGTGATTTTTCAAGAACTCTTCATACACTTCTCCATTTAAATTGGCGGGCGGAAAATGAGGTCCAATTAAATATCCATCAGTGATGCCCATCCACACATTGACTGAAAACCGGCTCTGAGACCCCGTCGGTCTTATTTTTCGGGGGTTTATAGCTTCTTTATCGCCTAGTAATGAGTATTATGGTAGTTAGTGATCCCGTCCTTATTAAACTTCGGTCCACAGAATTTTCTTAAAATAGTCTGGATCTGTATCTGCATGTAACATGTACCTGCAGAAATCTAATCGTCTTGCAGGATCGCCCTCTTCAATCACATGCACAGGCGTGTAGTGATAAAGGTATAATCTTGCAGTATGCACAGTAAACCATACTTTGTATTGTGATATACCCAACTGAGCAGCCACAATGCGCGTAGACGTAGTAGAGTCTTCCTGAAACACACGAAGGATTTCCTCTTCATCTTCAGGAGGATAGACTCGGGGTCGACCAGCATTACTATGTTGCCTTTGAAGCTTTGAACACGTCCGGTTTGGCGGATGCGCCGATACACAGAGTCAAACATAGTAACATGAGGTGTTCGGCGATTCGGGAAACGTTGCCGATATTCACGGCGGGCAGCTGCAGAATCGCCGTTACAAAGTCCATAACAGAACATTATGTCTGCGTATTCTTCATTCGTAAAAGTTTGTCCGTGCTCGCTATAGCGAGGTCCTGGTGGATCTTCTGCGTCTGCCATGATGATAAAGAAACCACTCGAACTGAACTGGGAAACTCGAAAATAATAATCGTGCGTAAAACGTGTGCGCGTACGCAGTAGTTGATACCAACTAAACCTAATTCTCACTCGGCGTGCGGCGATGGCGTAACTACAATGATAACAGCTGTCTCTCTCTCTCTCACTCCTCCACTAAGTCAGCTCTTCTTTGAGGACAGTAACGACTTGTTCAAACAGGTAATACAAAATCCTTAAAAATCCAGCCTCTGTGGGTGTCATTGTTGTTTCTCTGCATTTACTTCAGATAATTGAACGCTTAATACCTCAAATGAAAGCTTGTTAGATAGAGATATTATTTACATAATTTGCACATTTCATTACTAGGAGATTTTTTACAGAAAATTGCATTTTTTATCGAATAGGTTAGTAAAAAAAAAGAAAAAGATACATTTACAAAGCGTAATTTTAAAACGTTTGTAGCTTTTCAACATTCTGTTACTTATTATGAACTATTCGAATGTCTGCTATGCGACGATAACAAAAAACTCAAAATCAACCATGCAGTTTTTTGTATTTCAATTTTAACCGTCTGAAATCGGAATAAAAAATAAAAAACTTAAAATTCAAATAACTCAAAAATGGTTAACTTTTGGTTAAGACATGATAGGACAAAATCGGTTGGTTTTGACCTAATCTATCACCCCTTAACAGGAATACGTGGCATTACAAGTCACCCTGTATGTTGTATGAGTTGCGATATCGAAATTAATTTCAACGGTCGAAATTCGGTTGGAAGGTATGACAGCTCGTCTGGATAGTACAACAATCTAAGTAGAGGCTTTTCTGGTGGTTATACTAATCAGCTGAATAATATCTGGATATTAGAACACAAAGGAAATTCGTTATCGTTTTCGTCGTGCGTTTCAACAATGCTAGCACGCTTTGTTTACGTGGTGTACATAGTCATATAAAAGAATGTCTCACCTCGAAACAGCGTCGTTTATTGCCACCGAACGTTATTATTCAAACAGTTTTAACAAATGCAGCTCGCTTGCTGCGATAACAGAAATACCAAATTGTTTTGAAAGCCTGCTGGCGACCGCGCGTAGTTACGTCACTGCAGTAAATTTAGTACTCTATTCGTTTGCAATACCGCTGACGTCGAGCTGTGTGTGTTATGGTTGTGATAATGTTCCAAAGGTCGATGATGGTCGTCAGAATATTCATGCATGGAGCGTTTGTTTATTATCAAAAGTTCTGCTGTATCGCAGAGAAGCTTGAAAATTTTCATTACGTTCAGTCTAATTTTATTTAAAGGACGTAGGGTAATGGCGTTTTCTTTTCGCGACAAGCGATTCATTATTGTATTTATCTGATTACGGTTTACAGAGATATAAACAACGTATAACAAGCTTGATGAAAATAGAGCCGGTAGAAATGAAATAATAATAATAATAATAATAATAATAATATAATAATAAATGGCCTTTATTCGTCACACGATTACAAAATAATTGGTTTAAAAGGAACAGTGACGAAAAGGTGGAGTGTCAGCTTATGCTGTTTTTCAACCCGACCTGGAAAACATTGACACAAACTATAGAGAGAGAGAAAAAAAAAACTTAGAATATAACACTTATCAGAGAAAGGAAACAATCAATTACCTGTGGATATGCATAAAGTAAAATGTTAGCCATCCGACTGCTTTAAACTCATCTTTAACCTTTTTTTAAAATTGCTTAGGCTATATTCTTTATACTCACTTGATAAGCAGTTATATAGTTTGGGTGCCCAGTACGAGAAACTGCGTGTGAACAATGCTGTCGAATGCCGCGGGATAAGTAAGATTAGTTTATTCCTAGAGGATCTTTGATCGTACTGGCAGAGGAGGCTTAGTTTTGTATCAAGATAATATGGCGCTTTAAGGATAAGGGTCTTATGTACCAGAGATAGGCAATGCAGTTTCCTCAATTTGTTCATCTTAAACCATCCCGATTGGTCAAAAGCGCTACTAATATGATCAAATTTACGGATTCCATAAGAAAATCTGATGCATGAGTTTTGTATCATCTGAATCCGCTCGGCATCAAGTTGTAAAAGAGCAGGTCCATAAACAGAGTCACCGTAAGATAATTTTGACAGGATAAGGGACTCGCAGAGTTTAAGCTTGAGCTGTGTCGACAGGACACTTCGACTCGGGTATAACTGACGAAGCACATTATAGGACGCATTGCATAGTTGGTTAACATGTTTAGTGAAGCGTAGCTTGCAGTCAAACCAGATACCAAGGTTTTTGCATTCGTTTACGAAGGATATGTCTTCATTATTCACCATAATATTAATGCGATATTGATTTATTTCACGATTCTTTTTGGGCCCAAATAAAATGCAGAATGATTTGCCAGGATTTAGTTTTAGATTGTGAGCACTAGATATGTCAAAAATAGACTGCAGGTCTTGATTTATTTGATGTTGGCCAAGCATATATTCATCAGGATCGAAGCAGTTATAAAGTTGGGTATCATCGGCGTAGTGATGAACGATTGAGTTGCTGGCGGTTTCATGAAAATCACATATATAAAGAGCAAATAAAAGGGGACTCAAAATAGATCCTTGAGGGACACCAAAATTTCTGAATAAAGAAGTTGATATATTGTTTTCATATATGACAGACTGTGAGCGATCAGTTAAAAAGCTCTTAATCAGCGTGCAAGCCGATGATGACAGGCCAAAGTATCTAAGCTTTTTACAGAGAATATTTGGGTCAACCGTATCGAAGGCCTTGCTAAAATCAAGAAGAACTAAGCAGGACAGCTTTCCTTGATCAACTGCGCTATAAATATTATCCGATATAGACAGGAGCGCAGTGGTGGTGCTATGTAATGGTCTGAAGCCAGATTGGGAGGTGGTCAGTAAATTATTTTGACAAACAAATGTGTGCTCACGTAGAGCCATTTCCAAAAGCTTAGATAAACTTGGTAAAATGCTTATAGGACGAAGATCAGAAAAACTTGAAGGATAATTAGATTTAGGCAGAGGGAGAACAAGAGCATTCTTCCAGGAAGAGGGATAAAGATTATTTGTTATACAAAAGTTAATAATGAAGGTAATATACTTAAGCAAATGCTTATGTATTATACGGATCATATCAATTGTGATGCCATCTGAGCCTTTAGCATGACTTTTGATGCGATTAATAAATTTCTCTACAGTGGCAGGGGAAACTGTCGTGAACAGAAAAGTACCACTATTCTTGACGTTTTCATATTTGTCTAAAAGGTTCAATTGAGTTAATGATTTGGTTGTTTGAGGTACGTTTAAAAAAGCACTATTTAATGAACCGAGATCCTGAAGATGTGGAGGTAGGCTTATGGAGTTATGTTTAACGATATTCAAAGATCTAAGTATATTCCATGTAGTCTTCGAATTTTTATGTCTCATAACATAATCGATGTAGGCTTTTTTCTCTCGCCTAATAGCACTAGAAACATAATTTCTGATTTTCTTATAGAATTCCCAGGCAGCAATCGTTCCTGTACGTTTAAATTTTTTATATGCGTCACTTTTTGTTCGCATCATGAGTTTTATGTTGAATGTTCGCCAAGGAGCTGGTGGCTTGGTAACTCGAATGTTTCTGACAGGAGCATGCAAGTTGAAGGTGCACAAGATATTAGAGCTCAGGAAGTCAATCATTTGATCCACATCTCTCAACGTATATATAAAATCCCAGTTTATTAAAAGTAAATCATGGTAGAAATTGTCTAGGCTAAAGGTAGAGTAATCACGATATGTCCTCAGTTTACATAGGTTGCTTATCTCCGATGCATCTACATAAAATAGAAAAAAAATTTATTGATATTTTATGTACAGTTAAACCAAAGAGTAGTTATACCAAGAGAAGACACTTCCTGGAATGCCTTTATAATCCTCCGATGGACTTCATTGACCTTGGGATTCATCTGTATTATAGGAGGCAAGCTGATCGTAATTGTCTTGTTACATCATCGTGTACTGAGAACATACGATGAAAACGAATCACATCCTACGTATATTTTCTTGATTTTAACATTCCATACATGTACGCATTGTAACCAAAACCAAAAACAGCGTTGTATGTCATTGGCTACCGAGGCGTCTTACGGCCAGGCTGTCTAGATAACTCGCGACCTTATCAAATAGACCGGCGATTGGTCAAATAATCAATTTGAGATTAGAAAATTTTTGAATTTCAATCTGACGTACCAGGGGCGTAGCTAGCCTAGGGCAAACCGGGGCAATGCCCCGGGGCCCCGGCTTATAGGGGGCCCCGGCCATGCGCCTCAAAAAAATTAAGTGCTAATATAACCTAGGTATACTAAAAAGAAAAATAAATAATAAATATAATGATAAATAATGTTTATTTTTTAAAACGCTACATATTTGAGGAAAACGCCTTAATATTACGTCTCGTCTTTGGGGATTCCCCGATCTATTGTTTTGATGATTTTAACTACCCAGCGTGCCCTATGTGATATTGATGTGGTGTAAAATAACATTACTATATTTGTATTGTGACTGTTGTGTCTCGTTATAATAAGGTACCTATTAGAAAAAAAGGTAAGTGTAAGTTATATTACTTAATGAATAAATGGCTCGATTTTGATTTGTGCGTAATTTTGTTTGTAAATGTACATTTGTCCATTACCTTGCTGAGTAAAGGCGCCCGCAGAATTTACGTAACGGAAGACTTAAGACTTAAGTTTCATTTACGACAGATTAAGACTTAACCGCAAGGAATTATACAGAATTCTGATAAGGTGATTTATAAAGTATAGTCAAGACTTAAGGCATGAGAAATTACCTTACAGCTTGAGGCTTAATTAAGTCTTATGTTACGGAAACTCTGCGGGCACCTTAAACCCGACACTAAATTCGAAAAGTTTCTTAAAGACTAAAAATGATCTATTGACTGTTTCAAAAATATCGACTAATTTTATTTCTCTTAAGTATATGAGTATATCGAACAAATTGTTAGAAATGACAGAAAAAAATCCTGTAAAAGTTACAGCTCTTAAATATTAATATTTCGAGGTGCCGCATCGCAAATTTCAATTTCCCATTTGATTAACATGGGAAAAAATTGTTTTCATCTTTTGATTTTTTTTTCTCATTACCAAATTATCATACGGATGAGTTTATAGTTTACTCTTGTAGGGAATTGAATGCTTTACAAAAAAGGTCTCTTACAATTTTCCGATAAACGTACTCGTTCAAAAGTTTTTCGAGGGAAATTGAAATTTGCGATGCGGCACCTCAAAATATTAATATTAAGAGCTGTTACTTTTACAGGATTTTATTTCGTCATTTCTAACAATATTTTCAACATACTTGAGAGAAAAAAAATAGACGATTGTTTTGAAACAGTCTAATTGATACACAACTACCGAACTACTTAATGCATTTAAAAATGCTTGTGTATTCTTCTCTTTGCAGGATTAGCAGATTGAAGAACAAAATGCTAAAAAAATAAAAATGGAAGATAAGCGGAAATATCAGTCTGGAACACAGAAACGAAAATTGAAATTAGAGAAAGAGGGAAAATTAAAGCATGCTAAAATAGAAAAAAATTTTAAAGCCTCTCAATCTTCTGAAAAAGAACAAGTAACTATCAATATTTCTGAGACACGTGGGGCTTATAATGGAGTAAATGCTCAAATAAAAAGAGTTCAACAAAATGCCGCATATGTACATTGTGAAAGTCACAACTTAAATTTAGTAATAAATGATGCAGTAAATTGTTGTAAAGAGGTCTCGCAATATTTTGCCACTTTGCAAAATATATATTCTTTTTTTGGTTTAGGTATTAATAGATGGGATCTTTGAGCTTCTTTTACCAGTGAATCCAAAACAACTTTAAAAACATTAAATCCAACTCGTTGGTCAGGAAGGATATTGTCTATTAGTGCTGTCAAACTTCGTTATCTTGATATTATTAAATCTTTAACAGAAATAGAGTTACAGTCTCATAAAAAAAGAAGAAAGAGAAGAAGCTTCTTTCATCAAAAAACAAATGTGTTGCT